CCGTTCCAGTGCTCGATGTTCGTTATGGAAATGGACTGCGCCGACAAGCTTATATGTGGGTACACAACTCGATATTTAGTTGTGCGACTAAACAGTTGAATTGCTTGCGAGACATTCGACAAGCGCACGACGGTTGTGCTATAGTTTAGTCTTAAATTAAAATTTCGTAAAGATTGCATAAGAAGACAAAAGAAAATAGTGAAATAACGATTTTATTCAACAAGCGGTTAATCATGATGAAGATATGTTATCAATCGACAAATTATAACCAATTGAGAGAAACGCTTGCATTTAGTAACGCATACGCAAGTCAATTGAACTTCCAACAATAAAATAATAATTAAATAAACTTTATTGAAGTCTTATTACTTTAATTGTAATTTAAAACTCGAATTAAAGCGGGTAGTCTGATTTATTTAGTTGTAATACCTCAATATCTTACTAAGTTAATTCAAATTATATCTTAATTCATTAAAATAATCACAAAATTTGAATCTAAAATGAATTAACTAATCAACTAAAAATCAATCTGTACCCCAAATTAAAAAATAAATCATAACTCACCTTGATTTAAGACATAAGCCACTTATAAATAAAATTAAACTAATTTAACTATAAACAGTAAATACTGTTACAATAAAACACATATATCTCGCGTGTCCATCGAAATAAGTACAGATAATGTCGAGATCTGCCGCACTGCTTGCCCGAGCTACACTGCTTATTGACGACTGCTAATAAATATCTCGTTTAGACGTGACGTGTTAATGCTGGGTTTCTGAAGTATCCACTTATTTTGTCATTACCTAGCGATTTACCGGCGTTAGGTTGGCCCATGTTTCAATGGAATAAAACCCAATTTACGTAATACAGAAACGCATTTCATGAATTTATCGAACTAAATTCTCTAATGAATGGTTAAACAAAAATGGGAAACCGGCCATTAGTCGTTCTTTGTTTCTAGCACTTACGTGAAGCGTGCTGTTTAACATTTTTAAAGCGTTAAACGATTATGAGTAAGAATTTTGAGAGCGTCGGTACTGAGATGGTACTTGACTTGCATTTTACAAGCCCTACGAATCCCGCCATGTACAAACGTGTTTCGATTTTTAGATTTTATTTGTATGGTAAAAACGTTGTTATGCTTACACATATCGTCGAAGAAATTCAAAGATTGTGAAGTCAACCCGCATAGGGCCAGTATAGGACTATCGTTACCCTAAATGTAGAAATGTTATCATTTTTGTATTCCAAGTTACCTTTAATTGACTTCCATGCGTTACCTTTAGAAAAGACAAGAAACTTCAATGTTTATTCAGATAACGGTGGGCGGAGACGAACTAAACATTGTTGTCCGAACACTTGACTTCCGAACGACTGCTTAACAGTCGGTTTCCATTGCTAAAGCATGCATAAACATATTGTAGTTTAACAAATTATTTTTACAAAACTTAAGATAACAATTGCACCGACGATTTTGCAATGGAATCCCAATGTTATATTTATTTTCATCAACTCTGTAACATTACTCGGTGTTAAGTTTACGACTTCGTGATTATTTTGTTGAACGTAACACAGATATGAGGCAAAAATGTAAAATGGCAGAATTACAGATGTATTCTATGACATCTTTTTTTGAAAAGTGTTAAATGCATTTTTCAAGCTTTTAGATATATTAGGAAACTAGCTGTTCTCGTACGGCTTTACCTGCATGGAATTATAAAAACTTTATTTTATTGTTTACATTTGTCAAATTCTCAATTGCAAATGTCAAAGTACCTTACCTTACCTTACTATGGCAATCTTGCTTCCTTGATGTTAGCAGCAACTTATGTCCTCTTTCCCACATTAGAGCTTTTATCCAAAATATTTACCCGCTAAGATTAATGGCGTGAAAATATTAGCCTAAAGCGTGACGTAAGTGTAGGGCTTTTTATTAAAAAAAGATTTATTCAAAAATGTGCTGTAGTTGCTGGCATCTCAGGGAATAAAGAAGTGTGTGTTTACGCTTTATTATAATAGTATAGATATAGATAAGAAGAAATAAAAATTCGTTTCAGTATGCATATTTTTTATATTTGTATTAAATACATATACAATTTGAGCTGGTTTTCTTAACAGCCTGTATTTCTTATTAAAAAGTAACATACACGTATACTGTAGTGTAAAAATATAAATGCTTTTGTTTTAAAAAAGCCCTCATAATTTTTTAGTAAGTAACGAGAAAAAAAGCAAACATAAACATAGGTTTTTAAAAATAATCATATAACATGGCATTGTTAAGTACTTAAGATATATTTAAAATGATTTCTTCATAAGAAACCTAAAAATACATAATTAAGTACACGGCGCGTAGATTAAAAATTACAGCAACTCAATGAACACTTTTAAACAATTGTAAACACAAATTCATACCACAATTAATAAATTTAGTATTATTTTTTTAAATAACAAAAATAAAACAACCATTAACAAATCAAATCAGTCAAAACCATGATGCAAAGTAAAAAAATAATTTACCTACACTTTATAGAAGCACTAGAGTACAAAATTCTAACTTAACAGAGATATTTCAGTCAACTAACAGACAAACCAATCTTTCCATCAATATATAAAGTTTTGGAGATTCAGCCTCAATACAGTACCTAATAAATATATTATTTATTCAAAGAACTTCCTACAAATAATGTTACAAACAATACAATCTTGCGACACCTTATGTCGATGATACGGCAACTGTACAGCTTTTATATCTGAAAATAACACATTTTATAAAAATTAACAATCTTTACAACATCCACAATCTGTTAAAACTACTTTTAAAAAGAGAAGATATTGTACTACTAGTGTGTATAACAAATAGACTAAAAAAATACTGGACCAATTTGAAATATTCTCATAGTATTAAAAAGTTACATTATTATTGTGTGACAAGCTCTCTTACTTTCTATTATAAATACATAAGTTTGGATGTATGGATGTTACTACATATCTCCAGAACAGCTTAACAGATCTCACTAAAATTTATCACAGATAAAGAGCATAGTCTAAAAGAACACAGGCTATTAAGTCTTTTTTTTAATTCAGGACAGTCTCTAGTAATAACAAAATGTCTCACCATCATTTTTAATAATTTTTTCATAAAATTCTTCAGTTGACTGCTGCATTCTTTCCTTAAACTTACTTCTTTCTAAATATTTCTTATAATATAACTCTGCCATACAAGATGGCTGATAGGCATCACTCTTTACTTCCGATTTTGAAATATCATCTTGTATAGGTAATTCCGGAGATTTCTTCTTGAACACAAAAGCACTTGCTTCTGTTACCAACCCTTTTTTAGGTAAAAATTCACTTGCCTCCGTTTCTAAACTAGATTCGGATTTTAAAACAAAATCATCCGGTTTTAATAACTTCACTTGTTCATTCTTATATCCAATGACATTATCTTGAAGACTCAACAAGTTGCATTCATTAGAAATGCCCTCTAAAATAGATTCAATGGCAACATTTTTCTTTTTTTTCTTCAATAACTTATCTATATCTTTATTACTGGCAACATTGCTTTGAGAACTGTTTTGTTGGGTAGTCCTAAATTTACTAATTTCTATTACAGTATCTGTGTCTGAAATTTCTGTGAGGCTGCTTGCATCTTGTACCTAGAATAAAATAAAAACATGATGTTCAAAACTATTAACACAGCTTTAATATAAACATTACATTCAATCCTTTCAAAATTAGTTATAGAATTAAATACCTATAATCATCAGAATATATAAAATGTTAACCTGACTTCTGGCTGTAACTGGCTGCATGGAATAAAAAAAAAACAAAAGCAACCAGTCCATATGTTCTTCCAGACTATAACTTACCAAATGTAACATTTGATTTATGAAGTCTAGATCCGGTCCGGTCTGGAAGTCACCCGTAGAACTGCCAATTTCTTCTAACTCGTCTGAAAGCCGAGAAATACTTAGACAATGTTAAAAAATAAGATTTCCTAAACAACAAAACACGATGAGATACAAAGAACTCTTATAATTGTGTTATTTCCTTAAAATACAATAATTAAATTTAATTTAGATCATAAACATAATTAAAAGAGTTAAAAATTCGGTTTTACCTACATACCTAATACATAACATTCCGGAGTCTTTGTGTTAAATCCATTGTAAATATTTATAGGTGCGCTTTCCTCATTATTACATAAATCATCAAATTTATTTTCATCATTCCATTGGGAATCCATTGCACAATTAAAATATGAATAATGTAAACAATACAATGTTTTATTTATTGTTTATCATCTAAATTCAATCTTAGAGTTTGTTTTGACGTATGAATGATGAATACCTGACAGTGACAGTTACAGATAGTATAAATATAGAAAAATATGACTTTTTGTACTTTACGTTTTATTGTCCGAATTACCAAAAGTTTGTTTGGTCTAGATTTTTTTTATATAAAAAAGAATTGTTATTAAAAGTTTACGTTACTGCAGTTAAATACGAACAGCAGGAAGTATTATTTTTGGCATTTTTCATTTAATCAGATTAAAATGAAAGTTTAAACATGGCAATGTCAGCAAAAGCGTGTCTCAAATTGACAAGAATTCAGAGCCGATAAAAATTGCGGTATTAAAAAAACTACTTAAAGGGCCATGGGCTTTGTGAACAAACTTAATATAAATAGAAAAAAATACAAGCTTTTATCTACAAAGAAATAAAATCTCTTAAAACAGGTTACTAGTCTCCTCAAAAACTTACAAACCCTCGACAAGTATTACCTGCAGTGTTTAGGATAAATTCTTAGAAAACAACCTTGACGTACGTTGCTTAGGGATAAATTGGGTACATTTTGATTTTAAAACATCAAATGCATTAATTTGTATTTATTAATAAATTAATAAAACAAGTTCAATATTAAAAATTATTTATTCAATTCAGACTTAATAGACATTTGTTATTTCCGTAAGAGCAATACGAAAAATCTGTGAAAAACATACTGACACACATTTCACATTTTCCACCTTCATGACCTATTTATACTCTCCTTTACACTTTTCTCGTCCTTTTGCTTCTGTTGAGACAATTATATATTTACGTTAACAGTATGAAAGGCCAATATTATACTTAACAACTACTTATTCAGAATACCCATAATACTGACAAGTAAAAGAAAATCTCAAAAGAAATAGTCATCTATGTTGAATTCTAGAATAAAATAATCCTAGAACAACACTTATACATTTTTATTTGTCTTCCAGACAAAAATACTTAATAATCAAGTATAATTTAACCTATAGCATCCCATGCTATTTCCTTTGGCTACAACTTTTTAGACATCCTTAAAATTTTCGAAAACATTAAAGCACATTTTAAAAACCTTTTTCACCACCTTTGTTTTGAGTATTGATTGATCTACGAAGATCAGTACATTTCATTACAATTTAATGTGTTCATGTCCCATAATTATAAAATAAAATTATAGGCATCCTCTTTTACTACACAATTTATAAAATATAAATTAGTTTTTTGGCAACATTTTTATTTTCATCAATCTTTTAAACAGACGATTAACACAGTTTTATATTCTTCCCCGAGATTTATAGGCAAAATTATTTGTCTGAAATCATTTGTCATGTGGCTTTACATATGTCCATATATTTCTGATGTGATTTAATTTTTCACAGTTGGTATAAATTACAAATTAAACTCCATTTCTGCAATATCATTAAACTGAGCTTTTTTCTAAATATTTTTACAACTAATCAAGTGTTTAAATATTGGAAGGTAATTGTCATAGTTACTGTAACCAAGGCAACAGAGTAAAGATGCATGAGGAGATAAATAGTGTACAGAGTATGTGCTTCTTATTGCTACAAGCCTGGTATTTGTGTGTAACTATTGGTCAAATGATGCGGCAACATTAGTAAAGACCAGTTTACAGCGCCACAGCTGTTAACCAACCCTTATACAGCTGTCTGTAGGATTTTATCTCCTATATGCACAAATGGATATGGAAATGTCTTTAGTCATTATTTTATATTCAGAATATATAAATATATCCATAAATTTCACATTACCCATTGATGCCTTTCCACTTAAAAATACTTACACTAATTTTAAGCTCTTTGTCAATAAATTGAGTTAAAAACTTAATAGTTCAAAAAATTGAACATATAGGTTTTAAAATGTTATTTAAGAAGAAATATACAATTTCCTTAATTTAAATTGACTACCGATAAATAAGTAAACATCACAATTGATATATTTGTCATTGCTACATGGTACACCAATGAAGATGGTCTTAATATTTTTTTTAAGATATGTCTTTCATACTGTTTTTATTTGATAGTTAAAAAGGTTAAGTGTAAGAGAGTATAAGATGATGGAATATGCTGATGGTAACTCACCATAGTATTTTTTAATAGCTAGTTAGCACGTTGCTTGCGACGTCCTTGACCCTTTGCGGTAGAGCCGGCTTGTAGATTCCCTTGTCTAATATCTTCGTCTTTTGCTTTTAAATCCCTCTCTAGACGAGACCACATATCCAAGGTCTTCTCCTCTTTGGCTTTTACCCTCATTTTAAATGTCTCTGTTAGTTTCTCAGCGTACTCTGTAGGTACATATGAGGGGGAATTACATGATGTCTTCTCTGACACTTCCGATATTGGGGTTATCGGTTTAACGATTTCCTTCTTTTTAAATGTAACCGGGCCTAAGAATAATGCTTTGCCTAAGGGTTTTGGTTTCTCGTCCATTTTTAACCAACTTTTAACTTTTGCAACTGAATTATCAACTTCTCTCATATTTTCAACATTGTTTGTTTCAGTATCAATCAAAATATCATTTTGTGGTTTTGATTTTTGAGGAGCGTCATTGATTTTTGTATCATCTACATAAGGTTTTTCAAAATGTTGAGGTGTGAGTAGTATCGGTGGGTTTTCATTGACACCACTTGTCATCGGAGGATCCGAATAAAGCTTCAACAGTGACGCGATTGCTATATTTCTTTCACTTTTCATTTTAATACAAACATTTTCATTTGTTGGGCTAATTATTTTATTTTTGAGCCTTTCACTGATTTCTTTAATGCTCTCCTCATTATTTATTGTCCCTACATCTTTTATTCCATTTTTATTCCCCGTTTCAATGTTTTCTACAGATTGCTTGTCTTCAGATTCCTTTGGAATAAATTCTGGTACAGCAGGATTTAATTTGGATATACATATGACTGTATTGCTGTCATTCTGTTGTGAGCATTGGTTTTCTTTACACTCACTGTCATCAAAATTGTCAACCTGAAATGTAAAATTTCACCTTGATTTGAATTACTTGTTAAAACATACAGGTGGCTCCACCGACAAGGACATAGTACTTAAATAAAAAGAATATGATTTGAGGACAACTAACGCCATAACTGATATTAAACAAGGCTTAAGAACACTTATTCTATTTAAATATAGGTCCATATGGGGGTTGTAACGGAACTCCGCTTCTGCATCCGCAAGTGTGGAAATTTCGCAAAAAGTAATAACTCTGCATCCACTTCCGCTTCCGTTATTTCTTACGCGGAGTTATTACGGAAATTAATTTACGTCTTTAACGCATGTGGGGGCGATTAGGTAGGCCCGCGCGGGCATGTTATGTCAACTAACTATAATTGGTTTTCATTATATTTGCATATTTCTTTAATAAATCACAATTAATAATTTATTATGGACCTCCGCTTCCGGTTCTGTTAAAATGGCCTTTTACAACCCTAGTCCATACAATGAAATGTATGTTAAGGTAGGTTTTAAACAATGTATTTACAAACTCCACCAGAGAAATCATTGATTAAAAATATTCAGTAGTGGTCATACCATTCGCAACATTTCTGTTATTCCTGCCAAATCAGGCCCATGGTCCATCTCTTCTTGTGTAAGTCCTTGCTTTAATCTTAACAATAACTCATCATCATCTGCAAACAAGTAAACAAACAATTACATTTTAAAGAATTAAAATTCAATAATACTCAAATGTACAAAAAAGTATTTATGCACACTCTCATTACGTTAAACATCCTCTCTGTATCAAATGGCTAGCTGTAAGATAACTCTTAGAGTTAAGCTCACTTGTAACAATCTCTCAATTTGTATTTATTTAATACTGTTTTCTATTTATATTAGAAACTAAAATATAATATAAGCTACAATATGACATACATATGAATATCATTTGAGTCATCAAAATGAGTTTTAAGCACTGGCATTATTGCTTGGTCAATATTTCCCAACGATTAAAATATGGCATACCAAACGACCTAGTTTCGAAGCTGTTATGCTATGTTGTGCATTTTTTTCACCAGTATGTGAATATCCATACTAATAAATGAAATCGACACTTTATAAATTGCGATATTCGACTGTTTATTTTCCATATAAACGTTGACGTTTCTCTTATTTATACGGAACGTTGTTTTAAGTTGTAGAAAACGACGTTAGATATAAGTATGGCATGAAATATGCGGTACAATTACCTTCAGTCGTCGTACAAATAGGCGGCGGTTGCTCACCAACCACAATATGCTGTTCGTCGATATCTTTGAACCTGCCTCCCATCGCCTGAGCAAGATCTTTAAGTACATCTTTCTTGGAATACCAACTCATTGTAACTAGTTATCTGAAAAATTATATTTTGTGTAATTCATATGCAAAATAGTCCGTCTCCAAAACACGTTAATTGAACAGTGAACAAAAACTTACAAAAACAAAAGATCTTTGTTCTTAACCAACAACTTTATAAAATGTTCAGGGACGGACAAACATCACCAAAATGTCATTTAACATCAGGTAGCATCTTTTTGACATTGACAAGGGGGCGCGCACGACCATTTGGGGCTACCAGTTAACATAAAATTCCTTACTTCTTTTAAAGTTCTCGCACGTTCAAAACAAAATCAAAGTATGCAAATAAGTTGAGCTGATTTGATTTGTACCTGTAGTATGTACTTCAAAATTATTTATGCAAATTGTAAACTTCATACTTTTTGTTCAGAATTCACAATCTCGAGCAATCATAAGGTAATCATAATATAAAACGTCATGTCACTACACGTGATATTTTTTATGGAATTTCGAAATTTTGAAAATGGCAATATTCACTGGTGCAGTCGTCGCTCCTTCATTTGTCAAAATATGACATTTTCACGATGACATTGTTGTTAAAATATATATCAAAATAATGGCAACATCTATTACCTGATTA